ATTTCAGTGATCTCAGTGATCTGCTCTTCCCTTTAAGAGAAAATGTTATCTGACTCTGAGAAAATATTTACCTGGGCTTTAAGGATTGCCTCATGTGGCAGGAAGGGATGAATTTCTTTGCAATGAGCTGAGCTTTTTCAGATCCAGCCATGCCAAGAGACACCAGCACTGTCAAAGCAGTTGTTATGAACATCAGTGCTGTAAGAGTGGTATGTCATAGCCAGACTCTAATGAGCTAAGTTTCTTCAAGCCTGTTGAGACATAAGAATCTGAATAACCCTCAAGAAGAGTCTGAGGCACTGAGGAATAAGGCTGGATGGGTTTTTAAATTCACATCTTCTGAGACCCCTACTCAGGACGCAGAAAGTACTAGAGAGTTGCACAGGATGAAGCAAGCTTTAGGATCTAATTAAAATGGCAAATTTATTTTTACTTCATTGGCCTTCACATATGTTGCAAATGAGTTAGCCTTCTACACGTACATTTACTCTACCTTATTCTAGTTCATTCTGTGGGTGACTTCAGGGGACTGCCAGTGCTAAGATGGTCTGCTTCTTCAGATGTATGGCTGAACACTGGCATACTGGATCTCTCAAAGTCAGCACATCAGTACTCCAGCCCATGGGAAGGGAAATGGTACGCTCTTCTGCTTGGTGATACAGACTGTTCTGTGACCTAGCAGAGCACGCATCTGTGGGCAAAAGAGATCTTACACAGACTGACTGGCATTAACCAGCAAGGCTCCATGATGTGCAACAAAGATCGAAGATCCCACTCAGTCCTCCTGCCTAGGATGTACTAGCTCATTTAAAGCCATCTTAGTGTCTGGCCTTTGTTTCTCTTTCTGTAATTTACCCCTTCTTCAGGAAAAGAAAAGCCTGGGTGCCAAAGGTTGTACATTACTCTCCTCTAAAAAAACACTGCAAACTCATCAAAAATGCCACACAGTCTCCTTGCACTGTCATCTAGGAAGACACTGACTGGACACTGACTGGATTCTTCATCTATAAAAAGATAAATTATTTTAAAAAACAATCCCATTTTATAAAATAATTCTCTAGAAGCACAGCTTTTACAACAAATGATGTGCTAGAAAGGCTGATACAGTAACAAGCCATGCTCACAAAGATTCTGTTGATGTTGATATTCAAAAGGAGAAACTACTTACGTTTTGGTGATCTTCAAACAACACTGAACTCCTTCCACACAGCCCAGCACTAGAGTTCAGACATGCCAATAGGCTCTTTGGCTTTTCTACTTCACAGAAAGTAAGCCAGTACCTTCCAGTTTCTACGTTCTGGGGCAATGACACTTGTGTTACACCATTTTGCACAGACTTTGGCTATTCCTAGCATTCCTTCTGAAGAAGAAAGAAAACAAATTTGAAATGCATTCAGCGTTCAAGCCCTCAGGTCAGTGGTCTGTGCTGCTGCAGAACAGGGTGTTAACATTTGCATCAGTTTATGCTTGCCTTACATGTCCACATTTTTTCCACATAATATCTTTATTTTTACTTAGGGGAAAAAAAAAAAAAAAAAAAAAGTTCCAGTGAAAGCTTATGAAGGCTCAGAGAAGAGTAACTTTCATTGTTCAGAACCAGGACCCACTAACAAAGGTCAAAGGACAAAATCTACTTGTTTTGGTGGCAACTCATTCACATGTAACAAATCAGTTTTCAAAGCACAGTTGGAAGAAAACAGAGGAAGTACTGAGATGTGACCGAATAGGGTTGATGCAACAGGAGTTGCTGTGTGGAACACCACCATCAGAAGCTGAAAGGGAAAACTATGGTGAAAAAGGGACACATGCAGCCACAGACAAGTAGCAGAAGAAGGTGGGATGAGTGCTGAAACACAAGGCAGAGTGGAGAATCCTAACTGCAGGCTGCCTAGGATCAATAAAGTCATCAGTGGCTGTTCTGCTTTGAAGAAAACCAAGGGTTAACACCAACTGCTCTGCTGGTCCAGCTAATCTGTTATCTTGCATCATACCGAATATGATTTTACAATGAAAATTAGCTAAATTAAAGCTCTTACAGGTAATACAAAGCCAAATCCAGCAATTCAGTTGTACTATTCTAATCTATGATTAAGCAAGTCAAAACCATTTCTTAATTCTGAAAAAGTCATTGGTGGCATAAAGATGCTCACCACTTTGACTGGGGTGGAAACACAAAATAAAAGGCTGAAAACAAGGAGTCAAAACTGCCTTTATAAGCCTTAAGAATAGTCAAACCCTGCTGAAATAGCAGTGATGATAAGGAGTGTTGAGAAAAGGACAAATGAATAAAGAAGGATATCACAGTGGCTATTTTCTGAAGAAAATGACTGAAATGTTTAAGGTGGACTTAAAACTCATCTCTTTATGATTAACGGCATTAACACACCTAGGAGATTGTTCAGACTGAAAATGTTATGTCCACAGTGCTGCACATAAACAATTAAAAATAGTTTGCTGGTTCTGCTTTCAAGAGCACAGCCTGTTTGGCAAAAAGCATGGCTTTTTTTCCAAGCTCCTTCAGGTAGTCCAGCATAAATAATCTGGGAACAAAGCAAAACCAACAAACTCACACATTACCTCTCCCTACAGATTTTACAAGTTCTGAAAACAAATGTTGTACATATGATTCCAAATGTGCTGAAACAAATCTTCTACAGCTATGAAAAAGAACATGAGCAGACTCAGTAAAATGAAGGGACTGGAGCACCAGTACCCACTCACACTGTATCTATAAGAAGTAGGAGGGACATACCATTAAAAGGTAGCAGGTCTGGAGTACACAAACAGAAATACAATTTTTTATTAAATTTTTAATTAAATTGTAGGTCCTGTTTACAACAGGATGTTATGGAAGACAACTGGGATCTAAAAGATATTACTTTAACTCACAGGGAACAAACAAGTCTTTCACAGACTATTAAGCACAACTGCTAAGAATGCAGCTGGGTCAGGAAGTGTCTGAACAGCTGACTGCAGAAAGCTGGCATGATGTGCTTGAGAAGGATCACTTCTATACAGGACTTGTTTTTTGTTTCAGCTGGAGTCAGGGCAGTACGCTTTACAAATCTTTGCTCTCATTCAGGAAGAAAATTCTTTTTCCCCGTGTTGCTTCTTGCAAAGTGTACTGGCTTACATATCTTTGTACTTCCTGCTGGCTCAAGAAGCGAATCACCAAGATCTCCTAAATCAGGCAGTTACTGTTAACACACTTGCAAGGTCAGAGATTTATTACGCATTTACTACATTTGAAGTCTGAGGGATTTGGGTGCTGCCTCAGATCTGTTCAAGAAATTGGGAATAATGAGCTCTTGAGAACTACATCATCAGAAGCTAACCATTCGATGTTGAAAAAGATCTTCTTAAATCTTAGAAAGATGCTTACAGAAAGGCTTAGATGTACACCCCCCAAATTGACTCTGTATTCTCAGCCCTGTCTAGCCAAAACACCGGAGTCTAGAAACTTCTGTACTATTTCACCTTTCACAAAACCTTGGAACAACTTGGGTTGGAAGGGACTTTAGGGCCCCTCCACCCAGATCCAAGACACTGCCCTAGGCTGGGTTGCCACCCAATAAATCAATTTAATGTGACTTCAGGTTAAAGAATTGTCAACTTTCACAGCTTCTTTATGTTGTTCTAATCTTCCATCACTTTTGCACTCCTTTGATAACCTTAATAAACTACTGCAAATTTGAGAGCAAAAAGGATGCTGACCTCATGCTGTATGTGGGCGCCTGAAGTGCTTCACAGTACTCCACACCACATCTACGTGCTAGAGGTGTTTGCAGAGTACATGACAAATCAGTTCAAAAGTGTGATGGCAGCCCTCTGCCATATGCAAAGCATCTACCTTTTGAGTACTCTCATACATTTACATACATTTGTATAAGCTATTCTTTTATGCTATGTCTAGCTGGAGCAAGTGCAACACAGTAAATGTATTGAGTGAGCATGTCAATAGTTCAGGACAGACCATAATCACTTCTAAGATTTCTGGATGACTGAGGTCCCCATCCAAGCTCACTGTGTAGTCAGAACAATCCACTTACTCCAAGTGGCATCAGTAGCATGATGGGTGGAGGGAACCTTTCCCTTGAACATAAAGTTCAGCACTGGCAGTCAAGGTGCCAGAAGGAGCTGCATTTCAGTACCAATTACTTTGGAAGCAGCCCAAACCCCCTCATTCATGGCTAAAATCTCCTTTTCAGTTGGAGCTCAGCCCTCTTCCAACCACCTGTATGCTCTACTCCAGAATCCCACGGTTTGGCCTTGGGTCTCTCCTGAGGCTCTTTGCCACAAACTCCAAGTGGGACCTTTCTCTCCAGCAGCAGTGTAGAGGATGTTCTTTACATCCTGTCCCATCTGTACTGGCCCCAGGGCCACGGCATGGGCTATCTCCCGTTTAATGTGTCCAAAAGCCTGCTGCTACTCGGGGTCCCACATGAAGTTATTCTTCGACATCACCTGATAAAGGGGACTTACAGCAATGTCAGTGGTGGCATACCACTTGGCTGCTTTTACTCCAGTTCATACTGGAGCTCTAACACATCCGGTACAGCAGCACTCAGTGGGGTGCGACCTCATTCAGTTAGCCTACCATCAGCCTCCATTCTCCCCTGACTTAACACCTTCTGAGTCTACAGCAGCTATTTTATTTCTGTAATTTCTGATCTCCTTAAGAGATCGTAAGAACTTGATACTACAAACTAGACTGAAAAACTTTATGTAAAATGTTTTTTTTCCCCCACTTCCCCACCGATTTCCATCATTTGTGACAGCCAGAAACCTCTGCTTGGTGAATATAGCTCAGCAATATGTGAAGAAAACATTTACAAGGTTTATGTAAATGTACTCTGATTTCAGGAGAATGCAATTTTTTGTACTCCTTTGTCTTAAACCAATATTTAGAATTGGTTAATGATTAAAATGCTCTTCAATTTTGCATTAATGGTACTGATTTATTAAGCATAATAAATATTACGGACTCTCATACAGAAAAATATACTTCCATTTTTTTATTTTAAAACATTTCTTCTTTGGGAATGACATGGAACTTCACTGGGGACAGTCAGTGGGGGTTAGGAAGAAGTTCTTCACCAGAGGGCGATAGGCATGGAACAGGCTCCCCAAGGCAGAGGATACAGCCCAAGCTGTCAAGAGTTCAGGGAGCATTTGCATATCACTTATGTTCTAAAACACTCCGTTCCAGACAGACATATAAAATACAGCATCAGAACTTCCAGTATAAATCTTGGAATTCAGTAACTTTGGCAGAAAGTTGTACTGTTTTTCTGAGGAAATTTTTATGTAGTCAAAACTCTTAAATATTTTATAGCAAAGCACTTTTCATATATGTTAGCACACACAGACTCTGATTGAAAAGAGTCCGCAAATGAATCCAGGTTTCCTCAAGTTGTATTGACAGTCTAGATATTTCTTCCAGTAGGCTGTGCTCTGATGAAATAATCTTAAGATGCAACTGAAAAATAAAAATAAGCAGCAGTTAGTAAAATTAACACAGACCAAATTCAGAATATCAGCTTCTTCAGTTACATTACTGAAAGCAAAGTACTGGAATTGAATAAAGACAGTTCTTCAATTCATTCATTCAATTTAATTCCACCTCTTTTTTTTTTTTGCTAGTCTTTCAGAAGCCATTTTCCTCCCAAATATTCAGTAGCTAGGATAAGGCAGCAAAACATCTTACTAGATGTACTAATGCTGCTGAATCTATCCTAATCACATACTTCTCCAAAGGGTAACTTTTTCCTCTTTCCAAAAACTGCATCATAAACTCGTGTTCAGCTTAGAAACATCAAAGAGATGCTCTGAGATCAATCAAGATTATTATTTCAATTATCTGTATTGAATAAAGCAAGAAGAATCATGTCAGCACACTCCTAAAGATATGGGGGATGTTTTTTCCTTATATAAAATGTTTTCTTTATAGATAGTAACCTTGGTAAAGCAAAAAGGAAAAGCAGTATTTCAATCATGTACAGAGTCACTGTATTATTAACTGGTAACATTTAATGGATGGAATAGTAATTTTCTCAGCTACAGCATATATCTAGGAGTTTTGATAAGCTCTTAGCTGTCTTCTCTAGAATCTATAACAAAATACATCGCTGTGCATTTAGCACAGGGGGAATTTGTATTTTGAACTGTTTCACTCTACAGATTTAGTTATATTAGCTTGTAGCATTTGCTCTTGTTGACATAACCCTATGTATTCCACTTAACACCAGCAGAAGAGACAAAGAATATGCACACCTATTTGTCTGCCATAAAATAAAATCCTGAAACAATTAAGAAATGTGCTGTTAAATAGATACTACCACATACCTGAATGCTTTAACAACTTTCCCATTAAGTTGTAATTAATTGCTTTCCCACAGCTTCACACAGTAGGTAAGAGGGTACAGCAGTATCAGAAGGGTTTTGATTCTCTACAGAATCATCTGAGTAAACACTATTTTTTTGTTTATTATATAAACATTTTATCATGGTAATTTTCTAACTTCTACACCTCTGGGAATAATTTTTCAGTTCTGTGAACACACAACGTAAAGTCAGACTTCCAATCTCAAGGGGTAACTGCAGTAAAATGCTTATTTTACTTTCCCAAACACTGTGCACTCTTATTACTTAAAATACAGAAAATCTTAGCTTAAAAATGAACAACCATTAAGAAATTATCTGTGTTACAAAAAATGAAATACGTGGAACAAATAACAGAGTAAAAACCTGTAAAAAAACATGTTTGGTAAGTCTTTCTAAAACCATCCCCAAAAGAAACCATTTAAGACACACAGTTCTAGCAGAGAGTTCACACAGATTTTGTGTCCTTTTGCTGGACCATTTTATTTAGGAGTAACATAAACTTTTAAAAGAATATTGTTACCTTTAAAAATAGCGCAAGGTACGCTTGAGCAAGTTCAAAGTTGTACTTCTTGTTCAGCATCATCCCAATCATTCTCAAGAAGCTTAGCATCACCTCCAAGGAACCACCACCCTCGGGAGCCAAACTTCTCAGTTCTATCTCAATACTAGATGGTCCCAAGTCTTTCAGCAAATTAAGTGAAGCTGTATCTGTGTTAAAACATAGAGCAATCCATCATCATTAACATCTGCAGAAAAGAATCTCAGGAATCCATCCAATGCAATTCAAAACATTTGATACACAGTGATAAAGCAAAAGCTCAAATTTCTAATGTTTCCTTACTATTCTTGCTTTCCACAGAATGTCATCATGCCTCTAACTCATCACGTTTCTCTGAAAAATACATCTCTAACAAGGAAACAACTTTTTTTTTTTCCTAAGTCCACCTTGACAAATACAATTAATACCTCTCCATAAATTTCCTTTAACTTCTGTGTCTTTAGATAAACTATGTCTCTGATCAACTAGTTAAGACTGCCATTTTCTATTTGTTTTCAACAAAAAGAAGGGATGAACTTGTATTCTAAGCCATTACAGCAAATATATCCTAGAAGAAAAAAAACCAATTACTATTGTCTCTAGCAATCTTTAGTGTTTATTGCTATTGACATTAAGCGAAGTAAAACATAACCTGGTGCATTTAAGGGAATTATTCCTTGTTAAGTAAATTCCTTCTGTTTTTCTGGGGTAGAAGGGGAAAACTTCTCTGTAATAGAAATTTGCAAAATTTACCAGAAACTCTTTTCTCCTCTTCATATATATTCGTCCTCATAATTACTGAAATCAAACCTGCTCTTTGAGAATTGTTTTAGAAAGGCAGAAATAAAAGCATACATGGATGAAAACACAGCTTTTGATATCAAAATTTTTGATGCTGTCAGCTGATTAACATTTCAGTTTCTTTTTACTAAGAAAAGCAGTTTCTTGTACTCTCATATGATTGTAACTACTAGCTGGTTTAAATTTATTTCTATGCATGAGTATTTAATTCCTGTGAAGATAATTAGCTAAAGTAAAGGTGTGATATTAACAGTGCTAAAGGGCTGCGTTAATTCATTTTTGTGCTGTGAGAGATTGAAAAACCAAGCATGGAATACAAAGTGAAATTAGTATACATACAATATGGAAAAGGTGCCCAGTTAAATTGATATTCTACAGTCCTGCTCTGCAATGCAAAACCCCTGCATCTATTCCAATGTTAAATTAGGATGGCTTCTAATGTACCACTACTTATTTGCATGACCTACTTGTCTTTAGAAGAGGTGCTTGTCAAATACCAAGCACAGAACCATGATACCCACCAACATAGTACTGGGAGTGGACCAGCAGATTCCCTGGACTAGGATTACAGCACAGACCCTGCAGCACACTGTCCTTTCAGCAGAGATGATACAGCCTGAGGGCAGCCCAGGGGATCACTACTGCAATGCATCATGGAGTACGTTTGCTCCCTGGTGCAGCCAGAAGAAGCTTAATTTGGTTTTTATATTTTCAACTCTTCAGAACTGCCTCATAGACAAGGTTTCAACAGCTGTCCATTTTTAAATTTCCAGGTCAGTTACATTGCCAAAAATCCCAATTTCAGTGATTCTGTAGCAGCACTGTATCAACAAGGAAAACAGCACTACGTTCAATTCTCACCAGCATCTTAAGTAAACAAATTTCAAGATTAACAGAATGTTAAAAAAATTTAAAAAAACAACAGATTTTGTCAATTATGTCCGTTAAAAGTATGTTTGCTGAAAGTTCAGAAGTAGTCTTTGCAAACAGAATTTGCTAAGCAGATCAGAGTTCTCACGTTTCAATGAACCACCAGATTATTCCTTATCAGATCATTCCCTTCCAAATAATAAAGAGCATATTTTCTGGATGACAGCATCACAACCTCCAAGAACATCTAACAGTCTTAAGAAAATCACTTGCTTTCTCTAAGCAGTTTTTAGCCATTTTGGCTCCATGCTGCCAGCCAGCTTGCTCTTTGGTCAAGACTGGATATGTGTTCCTCAGCTTTACATCTACCAGACCATTCTTCTTGCATTTGCTACTGTACTAAGTGCATTTTCCTACATATATTGCAATTCTGGCATTTGAAATGAAACATGCCAAAATATCACTAGCTTCTACACATTAGTGAAATTTCTTAACTTACATTCATTAGTGCTCAGGGCTTCTTCCAGACGAACATAGAAATCAGATTTCTGGGCCAGTACTCCAATATTTACTACCTTTGACTAAACCATGAAAGAGTTAGTAAATATACATAAGAATGTAAATATATTTACATTTCAGTTATACTCTTTTCCTGACATGATGAAGACTTACAGAAAAGCAGCATTAATGTAAATACATTAAAATTGGTGAAGTCTATAGCAAAATTTCAGTTAGGATTAAAAAGCTCTAAGATTTTATTGTAAAAATACACTAGATAAGCATTACTATGATTTTTTTTTATTTTTTACCTGTGTATCATTTTCTTGCTCTGGAGCAGCATATCGGGGTATAAGACCGGGAACCGTTGGGATGAAGAAAGGGGCTGACTTGGGAACTTTTGGTGGTTCTCTTGGTTTATTTTTTTTCTGTTAATAAGATATTTGAATAAAACCGTTATCACAGTAGGAACAAGTGGGAATTTTCGTTGCCAAGAAATTTATTTTTAGAATATCACAAAAAATTCATTTTTAGAATGTCACAAGAACTGAAAAGTAAATACACAGAAAAACACTTTACTGCTGAATATGAACTGAATATAAATTATTTAGAACAATCTCTCCCTCAAATCCCAGAAACTGTGATTAGAAATCTTTTGCAATCTTCTACTGCAAAATCCAGAACAACACCTGAAAAGTGAGATCAAGTCCTCTGAACAGATAAATGCAGCTCATAGGTCAAAGACAAACTACCCAGCTGTATGCTAGTATTTTTTGTTTATTCCCTCTTTTTCTGTCTATAGGAATGGCTGCCAGAGGTTTGGTGGCACTTAGAACAGATTTATGGACACTCACAAGATGCATTAAAAAAGAAATACCTTGCTTCAGACAGTTATTTTGCACACTGCACAAATCATTATGGCAAAAGTTACTAAACAGTTTTTCTCAGAGACTGCTAACAGAAGAAACAGCCTTTATTTTACCTACTTCTTCAGAAACAGATACTACAGTAGATAAACAACAGTGTACCTCATAATATTACCTTGATAACATCAAGACTGAGTAGATTTTTCCATCTTGATTCAGGTAGTAAGGATAGAGTTACCAGCTGTTCTCCCAGTTGCTCTGGTGAGTCATATTCTATCATCTCATCACATTTGTCTTCACCTTCTGCAACATCCACATCTTTCAAGAACAAATATATTTTATGAACATATATAACTTTTTAATTATTACAAATAAAAACATGATTATTTATTTTGCAATTTAAAAAAAAATGTGTGTTGCAGATATATGTCTCTTAGTATAATAAATATCTGACAAGCTCCAGTAATAAACTTCTATCTATTGTGCCTTAAAGTTAGAATTTAACAGACAAGACTGCAAAGATACGTTTGCAAAGTAAACAGCTTCACTTTCTGCTTTCTTTTTGCATAATATTACACAGCTGAATCCATGAATGTCCCAGAAAAGCCTAAAATCACAACACCAAAACATTCTAAGTTTTGAGCATCTAAACAGAAGCCTTACATTGACTGAAGAAAAGAAGGGAATCCAAGCATTCTGCCAGAATCAATTTATAGGATTAAAACATGAACACCTATGGGAGAAAATCCTGTCTCCCTAATTTAGGTATCTGGAAAGAAAATGAGGCTAACATTTCAACAGATCAACAGAGCAGGTTACTTGTTCTTTTAAGCAGTCAATAGTTAGGTGTGTCTCTCCTCCAGCTGGAGATCAGAATGTACGCACTTCACCTTACAAGAACTGCTAAAATTTATCATACAAGATCTCCATCTAGAGGCTTTCAGATGCACAACTGTTGGCAGTAAATGCAACTAGAATGCAATTTAGGCTGTTCTTCCACTGGGAATTCAATACAGAAATGTGGAAGGTGAGCAAAAGCCAGTCTTCTTGCCCATGTGATGATACACAGCTCTGAAAGTACCATTGCACAAAAGCTGGAGGGGAAAGGAACAAGCAGAAACCCTGTCCCGAATGCTAAACAGAAATATTTATTTCAAGCACCTCTGATTGAGGTCACAATGTAAGGTACTTAAAGCAATCTGAGCTTAAAAAAGCAATCAAAAAGCACAAGCATTCTTATTATCCACAAAACCTACTTGAACCAGTGAAGATAATCAGAACGTAATTCTGTATATTTAAATGTAGAAAAATAAACAGACATTTCTGTAAACATTAGAGCACAAGTTGTAGGCCAAAGTCCGCTAGAAATGGTAGAATAAATAGAAATTCAGAAACAGAATAATAAGACACCAAGTTTTCACCAAGGAAATAAAAAGTGTCTTCTATTTGAAATTCAGTATCAGATAGAAAATAATCTTTTGTCTGAAGGTTACCTTGCAGAGGGCAGGTGCCAGGCAGTGTTGTCACAGAAGGTTCATAGTCTGCTGGAAGGGGCCGTAAAGAGACAAGTGAATATAAAGAACGGTTGGACCTAAAAAATAAAACAGACATTTTAAAACCAGTTTTCATGTGAATGGGAACAATTATTTCAGCCAAAATTCCACTGCAGCCTAATATTACTACCCTCTAATTAAACACCAGGTTTCACTAAAGATAACCAGATAAACATGAAATGAAATGCAACGATATATACTGTCAAAAAGTCTGAAATAGAAAAGTTATGCTAAAGTATTACTGCCAAAAACTTCATATAGCAATATGAATTAGTTTTATTTCAACCAGTGCTAATTTCTGCATTTATTTCCAATGGCAAAATTACCTAAAAATCTTGCTTGCACTTAGTTGGTACAAAGTAGTATGCAAATATAAATGATTCATCCTACTTTCAAATAATTACAGAGTGGCTAACAAATTTTCTAGAAGTTTGAAACCTGCGCATGAGCAATTAAGGTAAATGACTTTTTGCCATTATAAGCCTAAGTTAGATAAGAAAAGTTTTGTAATTATTTCTAACAAACCTCTTTTACTTAATCACAGAAAGGTCTAACAAGGGAACACCCCTCAGGTAACCCCATGAGGAGGACTGCATCCAAGCCTGGGGCCCACAGCAAAAGAAGCTGTAGGAAAGGGTCCAGAGGAGGGCCACAAAGTTTATCAGAAAAGCTGGTCCAACTCTCCTATGAAAAAGACCACCCTGGAGAAGAGACAGCTCTGAGGAGAGCTCCAGTACTTAAAAGGAGCTTACAAACAGGAGGGGGACTGACTTTTAACATGGTTTGATAGCAATGGGACAAGGGGGAATGGCTTGAAATTAAAAGAAGGGAGATTCATATTAGATGTCAGGACAAAATTTTTTAATCAGAGGGCAGAAAGGCAATGGCACAGAGTGCCCAGAGAAGCTGTGGCCAACCCCTGAAAGTGTTCAAAACCAGGCTGGATAAGGTCCTGTAAAGCCTTATCTAGTGGGTGGCAACCCTGCCCATGGCAGGGAGTTGGACCTGGACAGTCTTTAAGGTTCTTTCCAATCCAAGCTATTCTGTGAGCCTTAAATCCACCTATCTGACAACAGGAAAACAAAAACTAACCATGAAAAAAACAAATAATGTGTTACTTCCATCCTACCCTAGCCAGTCATTTGCTTTCAACTTGTATCAAATTTAACTAAGATGCACTTTTCACTTGTGCTGATCTAACATTAATAAACAAATAATCATAACTTAATAGTTTAATTAATATTAATAATATTGTTATTATTTGAGAAATCTCAGACAATTTTGTATATTAATGAAAGCCCTTCAGATACTAACACTGTATGAGCAATAATATTTCAAAAAGTCAAGAAAAAAGTAGACTCAGAAATAGTTTACAGAACTGCTTACAGAGAGAAACAGAAAAAAAATCATTCCATTATCAGAGTAAATATATTAATGACAAGAGATTTAAAGATTTTCAGCTCATAGCAGCAGAGAATACCTCAGTCTTTCAGAAGACAAGATCAGAAAGCTCTTGAGATGATACTTTGCAAGCCAAACGTACATTTGCCATGAAGGTGGTTGAAAGCATTCAGCCCCACCTGAAGTTGTTTACAGAAATAAGTATTACATACCACAAATAAATTCCAAGATCATCCACATGGGCTGAAGCTAGAAAATCTCCTGTAGGAGACATAGTAAGACTCACTGCTGCAGAGTCTAGCAGAAAGCAATCTATGAGGCTAAAAGAGAGAAAAGAGATGTCTTTAGCAAAATGAACTTTTTGTTCTATACATATCTAAATTACAGTACAAATAGGATTGAAAGCAAGCAGGACACCGTAAGCATATATGCAAACTAGCATAACAGAAGTATTCAAAAACACAGTGAAGGAGTGGCATTGAGCAACAAACCACTCACATTCATAAAGCTTCATTATCAGCTACAACTGGAACATTTATTCTGCCTCCTAACACACTCTGAGGAAAGTTTGATGAACTGTCTGTCCACACTCAACTCCTTAGGCCTAATGAATGCACTTTCAGTGGCAATAGATTTCATACTTCCATGCAGCCCCACACTGCTCTGAACTCATATTTTAATTCTCTGCCATCTGTTGTTAGTTCTTCCATTTATACAATACTTCACATGCACTTGGTTAACTTGGGGGTCTCAATGTCCCTAAAGTAAAAAATGAATAACTTTCTGCAGTATCTGCAACACTTTTCTCTTGACATTATGATAATTTCAGCATGTTATACCATTCCCTGATCACTCCTTTTACTATTGCAGAAAAATGAAAAAAAAAAAAAAATCACATAAGAAGGAAGTTGAAATATCCAGAAGTGTGTGACTACTGCAACAAGTCGCTTTTGAGTTCTAACCATTGCTGCAACTACTGGATGACACACACCCTAGCAGAGTTCCATGTAAATTCATGTTCAGTGCAAGGTTTGTCACTTTTCACAGTGTAAATTTCAGTTACTTCAAACTACAAGAAGTACTCGAACATGTTCACTGACAGACACTTGGACCCATGAAAAAGGATGTGAATAGATCAAGTGAATGGCAGTGTGGATGATGCCGTGCTCAGGGCTTTGGGATCTATGATCTCATTGCACCTTGGAGGGATTGGGCATGCTGATGTCAGATAGGATGCAACTGACCAGGTGGGACAAGAGTGTTCTGGACAGCAGAGGGGATGGACTCATCAGCAGAACTAGATTCTATGAGGGAAGGGATGCACTTCTGACTGATGGAAGAGCTGGGGAACGCTCAATTTTAGAAACAGCACAGAGAAGACTCAAAATTGTTCCAAAGAGGGCTCCTCCAAGAATGTAACACAGCCAATACCTCAGCTAAAGTGCCACTACACCAGTGCACACACATGGAAAACAAGCACAAGGAGGAGCTGTAGTGCAATTAGATAACTATGACCTAATTGCTGTCACAGAGACATGGTGAGATCAGCCAAAAACCTGAAATACCTCAAATGAAGGCTATGAGCTTTTAGAAGAGATAGGCAGGTGAGCTGCCCCCGATATCTGACTGATGGCAAAGAATTGCCTCTGAGTAACAGCCACAAATAGGCTGAAAGCTTGTTGGTAAAAATTAAGGACATCTGGTTGTCAAGGTCTACTTCAGGCCACCAGATTCAAGGGAGCCTGTTGACAAGGTCTTCTGGCCTCAGATACAAGAAGCATCATGCTTGCAGGCTCTTATCCTGATGGGGTATTTCAACCACCTGGATTATCTGCTAGGAAAGCAACTGGAAGTCCGCAAAAAATCCAGGAGACTCCTGGAGTTCACTGAGGGCAACTTCCAGATCCAGATGTTAGATAGACCAACCACTGTTACTGAAACTGGTGCTCACCAAGCAGATGAGCTCATTAAGATGGGAGGTATGCTGGGCTGTAGCAATCATTCCCTGGTTGAGTTCAAGATTTTTATTAAGAGCTGTTGCTCCTTTTCAATAAAATCCTCAGCCATTTTCTTATAATTCTAAAAACAAACAAATAAACAAAAAAACAAGCAACCAACCAAAAAAAAAAAAAACAAGAAATGTGATGTTCTATCTAGATCTCTGCTTTACCAGAATTTCTTGAAATTCTGAAGTACAATTTATATGTTTCTAAAATGAATTTAATGAAGAACAAACTGGATTAATATCTCAGTATAACAGAAGTAATTCACCTTAAGTAGTCTCTTGCTATTTTGATTATATAACTGCTTTGAGACAAAAACGTTTGCATTTTTTCCACACTTACATGAAAACTCTTAATTTCATAATCAGATCTTCTGGACTCTGTTATATTGTATTCCCTGAAAAAGGCACAAAACTTGGTCCTCACAAGTGGTTTCAGTTACTTGAACATTTGTTGGGAAAACAACATAGTGGTTCATGTTTTGTCCATCAGGTTCCTGGCATGCAGATAAACTGCTTCTGTTACAGATGCTAGGCATGATGAGTATGAACAGCACATTATTGTATTTGCTGCTCACTCATCAAGATAACTTAACAAAACTTCAAATATCAGATAGTACAGTTTGGTGACAGATAATCAAGCCAGAAGGTTTTTTGCCACTGAGAAGATGGAAAGGAGTTCACACCATGTGTTGCTACAGCTTTTTCAATCAACTCACCATCCAGAGGGAAGGTCCCAAGTCTTAATAGTACAGTCCATTGATGAAGTTATTAGCCAACGACCATCAGGACTGAAAGTCTAAAATAAAATACTCAATTTAATGTCATGCTCTGTTTTAGATGACTTTCAAAGATCATGATGAAATGATCTGGCCATAAAACAAAACTGACAACACCTTATTAAAGAAGGAAAAGAAGAAAAATAGAAACTATTTCACAACAGGTTTAAATATATCGACCTGTTTCACATGGCTTTAAGTGAAAGCATTTTGGATCTCATTTTTATGTAAACGATGAAGCATAAAATTGAAGAAATCAAATAAATCAAATACTCACTTTCTAACATGAAGAATTAAATCAGACACTAACAACAAAGTATCTTAGTGAACGCTGCAAAAAACAACTACATAAATCATAAAATAAGGAAGTATCGGTCTGTTATATCATCTCAGATCTGTTTACACCATGTATTTACCTGGTTCATCTTTTCCACATAACTTCAAGACTAGCTGAATTCTACACCTCAACCTGACTTTCACTATTGCTGATGCTTTATTTTGTTAAATTCCAAATTAGCTGCCTGTAAAGTTATAATAAAATGCGAAGGTACCCTAAAAAGACACATCCATTTGATCAGGACACATTTTAACATGAAAATGAACATTGTCAAAACTGCTATACTACAGTTTTACCATTCACTGCTGAATACAATACTCAGTGGCTGAATATTTGCAAAGAAAATTCTGTCTTTAGAATGAATAAGGTATGTGTGTATATAACTTACTGCAAAAAATGAGTTAAAAATTACCATGTCATTAATACGTCCATGGTGTCCTGAGAACTTCCTGACAATCTTCCAGGTTTCTATATCCAAAACACTAATGCTGAAGTCATCAAAGGCAATTCCCAGAATGCCACTGCCAAGAATAAATAACATATATGTCAGTGAATACTCAGAGATAAATGAAAACAACTTACTAACTTCACTTCAGGATATTTTTATCCTGAATTAATCTGAAGAAAAACAGGATAACATACTTCTTCAGTCTAGCACTATGATTTGTACAACCAGCAGCCTGTTGTATTTCAAGCATCAAAAATGAAATTTCCATTAGAGTATTTGTCACCTAGAATTTCATATCTACAGCAAACAATATGCACATAAAACAGCTTTATTTTCTTACCTATCTCTGTGAAGCAGAATTCCACTTGGAGAAGAAGAAAGATCAGTAGAGTGAACTAGCTCTTTAGCTTTGAATTTCCAAAATTTAATTAATCCATCACTTCCAGCTGTGATTGTCAATTGGTTTAATCCATCCACTGCTACCCCTCTAATAGACCCCTCATGAGCTGGAAATTAAGAGGAAAGAGTTTTATCTCAGAATTTAAACACAATTTAGAAATCAGTATAATACTAATCACTGCATGACTTTGCTTAGCCTATTTACATGAAATGAGCTGTAAAATGTGACAAAAAAGTCTAAAGTGACCTGACCAGCTGAGTTTCATTATTTTTTTAAAAAAATCAGTACAGAAACCAAATATGTAAAATTAACTCATTTTCAAGTTAACATCCAGGCAGAACATAATTTAATTCAAATCACAAAACAAAAGGTGCATATAGTTGAACCTGAAGATTAACTTTAATTTCTGCTTTCAGTTGGGGAGTTTTTTTTTTAACATTAAGTTTGAAGATCTTTTTTCAATCATTTATGGAGACCACTACTCTTACTCTACACAGAATTCACTGCTTCAGATCTTGCACAAAGTACGTTCTTTGGTTTTTGTTTTGTTTGTTGATACTACAGTGTAAAGATAATGCATAACTCCTTAAAAATTTTCTCTTAATCTCTGTCTAGGGCTTTTTCACCCTGCTATTTTAAGAGATAACTTCAGGTTTCTTAAACTAGACAGCTTTCAAAAACCCAGCAAGCTTTGAGGACTCATTGGGATTCCCTCTTTGTTTCTACAAACAAAAACATCAGACTATGAAGGCCCTAATATACATTTCAGATTTACAAAACAACAGCAAACACACATGACATGGAATATCTACATAAGCAATGTTAAAAGGAGATGTTTGAATACCATCACCCACAAAGCCCTAAGTTTGCAGCTGCATATTTAAATACCAGCACATGCAAAGAACTAGAATTGCTTAGGATTTCAATTTCTTGTATAAAATATTTTTTCATTTTTAAGCAGAAAACATTTCATGTTTTGTGAGATGTATCTGGCTAACAAGAAGCCAATACTAAAGACATGAGTATTTCAAAGGTATCTATGATCCCAGGGTCTTATTTTAATGCTAAACATTTTGGTAACTGTGTAGACTAAAACCAGACACACATATCAAAACCAGCAGGTATCATGCTCTGAGTAAGTGGACTCAAATTACTTCCGATTATAGTACAAAACAGAACAGCATAGGTTACTTACAGAAAAAGAACAGATTTCCAAATTCAACTCAGAAGGTGTGCTAGACTATTAACACAGAACTCGAAGTTGTTGCTACTCCGTTAAGTCTTAAGAAATTCATACCTCTTTCTCTGCCATAGCGTCCTCTGTGAATGCCAGACTGCATGTTATACACATCTACTTGTCCTGTTGACATCCCAATTACAGCAAAGTTCCCACATGTGGTAATATCAACAGCCTTTCAAAGTGAATGAAAATGCCTATGAAAATAATTCTTAAACTGCCTAATTAGAAAAACTGTTAGGAACGTTAACAAAATGTATTAGGAATATTAGTATGTTTTTATTAGACTTCAAAGAAAACTGCATGGAATAAACCTCTTGAATAAGTAGACAAAAGAGATCTTAAAAGAAGCAAATTGGCAACAAGTAATAAATGAGATGGTGCATGCCTATAAAAGATAATGAAATAATGACTTAGTGACACCTGATTTTACAGAACTCATATGTAATAACACCCAAGCTGTGGCCTAAATGAGTAACCTATATAAAAAGAGCAACTCAGTAACTACAAAACAACTCAGTAACTATAAAGACAAAGCACGCCTGCTGCCAATGCTTCAACATCAGCCTCGACAACAGTAGCCTGATAGAGCATGAATTCACAGAGTTTAAGTTGTAAGAAACAGAGAAACAATGCTCTAAGCTCTATCAAAAGAGATCTAATTAAGAGAAAGTAGATATTTACAGCTGAACTCGTCCACCAGTTAACTGCTAAGCAAAGGGTCATAAAAACAAAACATAAGATAAATAAGTAGTCTGGGTGGAAAGCAAATGAATTGTATATGCTACAATATCTACTTGCGTTGCAAACGCACAAATCCTTAGCAAACATTTGCATGTATTTTATTGACTGCTTGACTTTCATTGCGGTCAGCTCAAGTTCCAAAGCATTTTAAAGAGAATACCCTGTTTGCAACTTGAAAATAAATTTTTCCATATTGCCAGGAAAAACCCCACATTTTCAGCAATTTCCCTTTAGTCTGATAATATACAGCACAAGCATATAATTACTGATGTGTAGTTGAATCTAAGTCAGTTTGAGAAATTAAAGGTAAACATCAATCACCAATCCATCTGAATTCAAAGATAAAATGTGCAATTAACCTGTATGTGTAAGGAAAAAAAAATGCGTATTTCTTTTAACATTACAAAACAGTTAGGCATGCTAAGACAGCCATCATAAACAACTCTGAAAAGTAACCAAAACACTCTAGGTAAGTGCTTTTCCATTATAAATACTGCTTTCTACAAACAATTCAAAACAGCACTGTAATGCTGACAATATCATAAATTAACTAATAAACTTACTGTTGCATATATATCAATAGGCTTGTTTTTGCTAAATTCTTCTGGCCTCAGTTTATGAGTTCCCATAGAAGTTTTCTGATAGTTCCAAGTTGTACAGGTTATATACCCCTGATGACAGGCAACAATACCATCCCAGTCATTCTGATGAGCCACCTCTGCAACACAATACACATTCATTTTAGAAACAATCACTCTAAAGTCAAATAACCTTTTTCTGATATAAGACACAGTATTTTGAAATACCCTTACACAAAACAGTATACATTCAGTTTTCTTGATGGACAACCAAGGGGTTATTCAGAAAAAAGAAATCCACCAAAGCAAAGTTGTTCACTTACCATTGTAACTGAAAGGCTACCAAAAACAGAAACATTTTTTTCATATGCCACATTTCAAGTCTTTGTGTATATGAGTCTGTGTGATTTGAAAAGCATATTTAAGCTTAAATGGTTAAATTCAGCTGTTCAAGCTGTACACATTTCCAGCTTGACACTAGTTTAGCCACCTAGAGCAGTTTTTAAGAGCTACACCTGTGTTACATAGCAGAAGCTTTTTCTGCATTTGCAGGAAAACCTTTCCCCTACAGCATAGTAATAAAACTTTAAATCTAAACATGATCAGTCATGCAGGATTCTAAATAATGAGCAATTTTGCACCTTATTCTGGAATTAATGAAAACATGAAGAAATGTTCAGATCTTGAAATTGGTAATTCTACACCTTTAAAAAGTAAAGCAATCAGAAACAAACTGGTACACAACAGCACAGCCAATATAGCAAAAAAGGAGCCATTCTGTCTAGAATATACTTATATCAGTGTTTGATGTCTGCAGACATACCTAGGGTAGTTTTTCTTTAAATTAATCAAGCAGAAGATGTAATATTCATTAAAAAAAATAGCAGGCATGTTATATATTTAACTTTACAAGTATCGTTGAATTCCACAAAATATAAATACTATATTTAGTAAAAGGACTACACAGTATCATAAGTCCAAATCTTTCAGTGTAGGCAACACCATAGTTGGAAGACAAAACAGCTGTCTAAGACAGAAATATGAAGACGACATTCTTCATTTAAAGAAAAACCTCTTTGATAAGGCACAGATAACCATGATTTTGCTTCTAAATGATAGACTTGCTGAAGTTCAAATGACCTAGTTAGTTCAGAAGTAACAGAAATTTGCCTTTGAACAGTGACTCAAACACAGAAATTGGGAGATCATAAATCAGCTGTTGCAACCAGGGTTTCCTTATCTGACAAAGATCTTCACCTCCCTAAGTGCTTGTTCACCAGCCAAGAGTAACACAAGTGCCACAAGATTCTGGCTCTCGTGTTGGAAATTTTCAAGACAATAGCTGGTTAAATTGGAGACATTTAAACTATACTGCTCTTTTAAAATGTAAGGAGTTTACGAGATAACGTACAATTCTGACCTGTATTCTATGGCTCATGAAGAGCCACAGTCCCAATGATTTCATTTTGATAAAGGCTTTCAAAACATTTTGTGTCTTGAGGATTAAAAGATTAAAGATCTGATGAGCTGACACATGTCTCAGACTACTTACCTGAAGCAAAGGCTGTAATTGGTGGAAGTGCCATTGTATCATGCTGAAGACCTTTCTTTTTTGATTTCTTTTTGTTAATTGAACCTTAAAAAAGTAAGCAAGTGTCTCAGTTTCATGGTTAGATCTCAAAATAGAGCTTAAAAGTAGTTTATTTACTACATGTAAAGTTCCTATTAAACTCTGATAATGTTCGCTTTCAACAAGCACTGGTGTTCAGTAGGGTCGGTCTGAAGATTCTAAGGGAGTGTCTGTCAAATTTCATAAAATACTGAGCTAATCACTCCACTGATATGTTCACAGATGCAGTACTCAAATAATTTGTTCCAGGATCTTGTACTGACACTCCAAGGCAGAGATCTACCATCACAACTAAATGTGTGATGTTAACAGGACTACATAAAGCAATACAAACATTCACCTATTTGAACAGCCACACTCAAAAATTCCAAATTTATCCCCAGAGGATATAAACAACAATTAATCATGCCTATTTAGATGCACACAATTCCATATACAGACATTTAAAAGAATTATCTTAGTCTCACTCCATAAGAAAAATGAAAATGTGGCCCTTAAGCACCACAGCATACAAAGATGCATTTTTTTTTTTTTAAACAAAGCTCTCCACTGAATCAAAGAAAATAAAGACAATAAATCCGAACTAACTGTAACAATTTAGCCTAGCAAACAAAAAAACAAATGAGAGAAAAGAAGTTCAAATTAAGTATCACCTACTGATTTATACATTTGTGATACAAAAATCACACCAACATTTCCCATACTGAAATAATACGGCATTTTAGGTTACATAAATTACTTTTCATCAGCAAACACTTCTGACAACATACTTTAGCAGGAAGGACTGAGTTTGCAGTGAGGTTAAATAAATTGTTTTCATGCAACAGTTAAAGTGAAAACGCATCTGTTTACATAAATACTTTTCAAGTGTTTTCAACAATATTTGTATGTTGACTGAAACACTCACCACGTCCTAAACTTTTATTGAATCTTTCATGCACTGTTGAAAAAGACTGCAATGTTCCATCTTGACCTGATAAAATATTATCAAAAAAGACTGTAGTGCAAAAATCAACTTTCTATTTACTCATAAGCCATATGAATGAGAAAAGCAGATTAATTCTCAGAAACCCGAAGTAATTTAACAAACATTCTTATCTGAGACAAAAATATAAGTACTGTAACAGATTAAATCCAGTTCTTTATGGTCTATATCCTAATACTTTGTATCATAGACAGAAGTTTTTTTTAATTCTTCTTACTGTTCAACTCCTACAATATCCCCACTTTGTCCCTCACAAAATCAAAATGTTGCACATTTTCTATCATTACTACCACACAAATACCGTTCTGTTCTTCAAATACTTCCAAAGTCTCCCATGACCTTATGCTACTCTTACCACCAACAATATTCCTTTCTTTACCCCTTCTTTCTCTACTGAAGATATTCCGCATTTGGTTAAGAACTACAGCTAAGTGAGCAGTAAATTAACCAAAACAAAAAATGGTAAAGGCACAGCTCTCCATCTCCCAGCAAACAAGATGACTCCCTCCTCTAGGCAGTCATCAGTATTCAAAGAACTTTGAGTAATTCAAGTTAATAATGGCACAGAAGACAAATATGGATCTGGCAAATAGAACAAAACACTATATAGGGGAGATATGGATGAGAATCAGAAACTAACAGAAAATGTAATTGTGCAAATGTAAAATAAACAGCACTTTATTTGAAGGCAGGAAGAATCAGAAAATACTATCACTAGGAAAGAAAATTATTCTCAGCAATTCATACTTAAGGAATCTGAAAAACAAAGGATTAACTACTGGAACTCAAACACCTTTGCTTGTGTATGATAAATGGTGTAATAAAAAGCCTGCATAAGGCAGAGAAATTCACATTCACAGGCAGGACACTGCAAAGAAATAAGATTTTTCAGCCTGGGAGGCAAGACAGACACAGCAGGAACTCAGAGCAACATCAAGCAAGATGAAGCTACAGACAGCAGTGAAATTTTATGAAGTTTACTTGGAGGGAAGCCCATTCTAGAGAAAAGACTTAAAACAAACAATCCCTGCTCACTCACACTCTGCTCAGAGGAGTTTTCCTCTGAGCATCTTCTTGACTCTATGTTGGAGTTCTTCCAAATATGTTCATGTCTCTCTTACGTGGTGGGGCCAAAGGTGGTATAATCAGTGTACTGCTGAGCCGTATTAACATAAAGATGTAATGTTGTCAAATGTTGCACATGTGGGCAATTTAATTACTTCAGCATGATTAAAGATTACATTAAGTTTCTCTTATGCCATTTTGGAAGTGTTCTTGGCCACCAAGCATTCTGAGCTAGTACTTAATTTCCATAGTGGTCTATTAACTTATTTTTAAATAAGTACTAGTTTCTAAGGAAGGGTAGTCTCTTACACACTCACAGATCAAAATATTGGTATCGAGTGATCTTGAGAAGACATACTACACATAAAACTAAGCTGTAACAAATTACTAAGAAACCATAATCCATAAATCCTGCTAAGCTAGTGGGAAAAGTATTCTGCTTCTTCAAACTACTAAATAAATGATGTTGCCTACTTTTTTCTGTCAACAGAATTGACACAGTTGTTAAGTGGTTTTCTCTTTGACTAGCTGATAGATTCTAAGACAAAAATGAAGGTTTTATTTGTTAAACACATAAACGCAGGCAATAAAAACAGCTTCAAAGCTTGTCTGCTTGTATCTACTTTTCAGCCCAAACACCACTGCACGTTCCTAAAGGGAAACCATGAAATAGTCTAATGCAGTAACAACATTATCTCCACTCATTAATCACTTTCTATATTTCATAATATATCTCATGGGTAATACACAGTTATCTTTTACATTAATAAAACAAAACTTGGTAGGCTGTGTGCCTTCATCACAACAGGAAATCAGACTGAATAAGAAGAATTAAAATTCATACCTGCACTAAGAATTTGCTCTCCATTTTGCCCATGGTATCTAATTTTTGTTGGTGGTGCACTATGTCCCATTCGGCTTCTCAATACACGTCCTGTACCACCAGGTCCATCAAAAATCCACACCTGCCTCCCCACAGAAAAGCAGAAAAATTAAGGTGATAAATACTGCAGTGCCAACAACTACACTTCCTGGAACTGAGAGAGGGTAAGCTGGAAGCTGAGCAAACTCCACATACTGGCATTCACGTTTGACACCAAAACTCTGGAGGACTGCAATGCAGCAGCTGATTGCTGCCCACTTTTGTTATGACACTCTACCAGATCAGAGAAAGCAAGGTACAAAAGAACGTCTAGCAACTGCAACAGTTAATGAGTGAGAATACTAATAAAAACTAAAATAGATCAGGATTTAAGTTAGTATTTCAGGATATAAATTGTGGTTTAGGAAGCATGGATACAAAGCTTTATTCTTCAAGATTACCATAAAGCAATAAATGACGAATGATAAGGCAACAAAACCTTAGACTAACAAATCAGCTGAGAGCCAGCAACTTCAGTCATTTGAGTTCTGCTGTATATGTATCTCTTGAAAGTTACTACTTCAATCTAGGGTACACATCAACACTTTAGAGGACTGCAGGATCAAAACAAAAAAAAACACATCATCAGACAACAGCCATTACTATCACTTACCCTTATAGCATTATCAGCACCATTAGTAATAAGAAGTGGTTCTCCAGGGACAAATGACATACCAGCTATTGCTGTGGAATGAGCATTTCGCATTTGACTCATTAGTTTCTTCTCTTCTAGATCCCACAAAGCTATGTGACCAATTGGGCTACCAGCTGCCATTACTGGGTGTCCATCTGTTCAGAAAAAAAATCAAATTTTTTTGTTTGTTTTTGACTTTCATTTCATCAGGTCCCTGCTTACTTCTCACATATGAGAACTGATGCAGGAAAAGGCTACAATCACAAGAAACGAGTCATTCTCATACTAGCTCTAAAAAGGTGTTTTAACTGAAATATTCTAATATTTCAAACAGAAAATAAATGAAGGTCACTTGTAATACAACAGGATTTTTTTCATATCAGATAGAACCAAACATATTCAAGTTCAGCAGGCAAGACTAGTTTTCTTTGAAAGTTTGAAAGATCTTAAATTCACTTAAGTCATTCTATACCCAGTTTCTTCCTCAAAATTACAAGCCTTCACACTTCAGAATCTGATAGCCACTGTATTGCCTCAAGTTGACAGCCTTTTTTTTTTTTTAAAGAAAAACTATTGTTTGTTTGCTCAACAGCTTCAAAAATGAATTCCAGAAGTTGATAACATCTTTATTCAAGCATTCTAAGTAAAATTATGATTTCACAATATTTCTAATTTTTGTTATATTTCTTCTGCCCTGTCTAATATCAAGGAAACTAATTTATAACACCAAGTTCCACAGATATTCAAGTAGTTCACATCAATGTAAAAAAAAAAAAAAAGTCTATATCCTGCATAGTTAGTAACTGAACTTTTATCTTCAATAAAGGACAGTTTCCAATCCAGAGTCACATCCATGGACAGCTAAAACAGGCCTAGAGTTTTCTTTTTATGGTTGTGCTTCACCAAAATGGAAAGTTAACAAGTTCATTTTGATTTAAATGAAGAGTACTTTACTCTAAGACTGAAAAGGGAATGTGAATTCAAAATAACCAGGTTATATTTATACACAAGACTCTGTATCAAAGCTCACATTGTTAAGATCTACATATTTCTCTATTCAAATGAGAGACTAGACTCAGTACCGTAAGTTCTGTAGGCAGTAAACAACACTACTGTAACTAGCTTGGGTGTTTAGAGGACAAAATAAAAGCTGCAAATATATTCTGCAGAAACATTCATTCATTAGTCATTCAAGAACTGACATATTAATGCACATTCACGGAGAAGATGCTTCTGAGAATTAAGTTTATACACTCACAGCATACTGATCACTCTGCAGTAACCCCAACAGCTGTGTACTACGATAGCTCTTGGAACATTAAAAAACTTCTTACTTTTTACTGAAAAGAGTACCATAGGTCATGCCTCCAGTGCAGTACACAAGAAAGTGCTAGGAAACAGCCAGCATGATGAAGGTATCTAACCTCCATTTTTTTTTTTTTTTTTTAAGTAACTCTCCAAAATTATCTTCAGTCTTTAAAACTAGTATTCTCATTCCAAACTTTGTTTCTGAAATGCTTGTTCAAAACATTTTCCCAAATTCCATTTAGTTTTAGTGATGTTACACGCATTTTAAAAAGACCTACCTGTACGAAAAGATATTGCTGTGATGGGGCCCCAGTCTTGTTGGAATTTCATAAGAGTTTCATCAAACTTAATATTATGTATAATGATATGACCAGATACAAGACCAACTGCAATAACATCTACTGCTGGGGCCTGTGGAAACATTGAAAGAAAACTAAAAAAGCTTGCAACCACCCTATAAATATCAGTATCAAAACAAACAGTAAAGGCATCTTTTGCATGAGAACCTCTATTAAGCATTTAATACAAAGAGAGATGCAAGATTTTACACCTGCTCTTCACTGAATAGAACAGTTACATTTTCAGAAGTTTTGACTCCTTAGAAAAATATTTCAAGTTTCCAGTAATTTTGGTAGATTGGTATGTATATAGTCACAGATACACATTCAGAAGTTTCACACAATATCAACACAGATCATTTTCAGAGGTGTTAGCAATGCTTTAAATACTACTGGTAAGTTTAAATTCATTTTTATATCTGGAAAAACAAAGCAATTAAAAAATCTTTGTCTGAATCAATAAAATCTACAACTTACTACTATTTCTGATGTGAAAACATTTAAGTAGCAAGAAAATAACAGTGTCATGGAAATAACACAATACACTGGTGCCTTGTGAACACCTTGTTTGTTTTTGTGAACTCATTATGTAATTCAGTGAATAAAGTCTACAGTAGTAACGAGCCAAAAACATGCAAGATGCTAAACACGACAGAGCTAGGACTAGCCTTCAAATCTACCTCTCTTCAGTATCTAATAAAGGGTTATTTGTGTATCTTGAAAATACAAATTATTTTCACTGATGCCATTTAAAACTACAATATCTTGCCTCCTATTGCCTAATATGCTGTAGGGTGTTACTAGCATGCCTTGAAAAGAACAGATATTATTTCCATTTTAAACTACAGTATTTTGCTTCCTATTCTTGAACAGTTGCATAAGAAAGTAAGATGAAAGAAATACTAACTTGTGCGAGAGTTGTGATCCCCAAGCCCCATCCTGGAAATGAGTACAAGAGTTTGCTGGAAAACAAACAAAACCAAAAATAATCAATCAATCAACTTTCCAGGATTTTTCATGTAAAGGTGAATGCTTTTCATGCATTTACACAAACAAATATGTAAGTTTTTTGCTCTTAAATACCTCTTAGAAGAAAAAAATATTAAATGATTACATTTCAGAATAAAACTTTCAATAATTTCTATTTGAAAAAAATAACTGTGTTAATGTTTTAAAGATTACATAATTATGTAACAAGAATACAGAGGAAGACTCATTTGTTGTTAGTTGTTTCCTGTACTCTTCTGCTTTAAACACACCTCTTCAAAATTCCTATCAACACACAAAGCAAGTCTCAGGTCAGCTTCTAAATAAAAAATAAATCATTTACATGATGCAACTCCACTGCAAAGTAACTCATATTTATAGTAGAGATATACCAACATTGTTGCTGTTACTATTTATATTGTTGAGAGAAAAGACAAGGTAGTCACACAGCATAATGTGAATTAACTAAGGCAATATTTAAGAATAGACATAAGCAAAAAATTATTCCTCTACCACCAAGTTAGTCATTCTTGAAAGACTGCTAGCAGGCATCTAATCCTTATCTCTCTTTTCTTTCTTGCTAGAGATTACCAAAGCTTCCTTTCAGTTCTACAAGTTTAGTCTTTATCTAATTGTGCCAATACGTATCCACAAAATAATCTCTGGAGAGAACAAACAATGGAAAATAGAAATTGCTCAACACAGCAAAGTTGCCAAAAGGACAGTAACAGTTATATAAATTCTCATATAGCAAAGCAAGAAACCCAGACATTTAAGCAAGAATTTTTAACATCTGGGATATATTGCACCCTACATGCTGCAACTTGCATTAAAGAGACACAAAAGTAACACGAGTAGAAACATTTACTTCTCTTTCTGGATTATTTCTATTTCCCCACTTTCATAGCATATGTTTCTGAAACATCAGGATGTGAAGAAAAAAAAAAACCTTTACTTTCACAGAAAGTACACAGCAGGTACAGAAATAAAAAATTCAACCATGCAATCTGAGTTAACAGCCATTTGCAGTACGTATATTAACATACAGCAAAAGTTAAGCTCCATCAGTGAGAAAGCAGTTGATCATAGTAAACATGGTATACTGTCATCTGGACAGTGTTCAACTGGGACATGTTCAGAGACAACTACGTGTCTACACATCTCTTTCTTAAGTCTACTGATCAAATGCTAAGAACCTCCACACTACATGCCAGCAGCTCCTTGGAGCAGCACCAACCAAAGGGAGGCAGGAAGCCTGGACATGCATTTACTATCCTTTCAACTATTTTCATGAGAAAGGTATGTGATTCCAAGAAATTAAAAAAAAAAAAACAACTTTAATAAAAGAGATTCCTGAACAACCCCCGACATTCTGCAGAGACAGTAAATAACACGTAGTTTGAAAGATACCAGCATACAGGGAGCAGCAACATTCTCTGTTCCTGGAGACAGGCCAAGTGAAAACTTAAGCCAAAGAATTCAGTAAAATATTCCATGTTCAAAAGCTACCACACTTAAAAATATTAGTTGTATAACTGCTTGGAGCATGAAGTATAACTAAGATACTAAGAATCTTACTTGGATCTTATATTCCACAGCTGCAAGCTCCCTTGTTCACTCCCAAGGAGAATTTTATTCAAATAGGTGCTTGGATGCAGAATTGCAGAAACTGCAAAAGTGGCCTTATCAAAAGCCACTTGAAGATACTCCTCTGCAAAGAAAAAAAAGAAAAAAGAAACAATTGAATTGTGGTTAACCCCACGAACCTATAGCTTGTTATCCCCTGACAAATGTAAAAGGCAGAAGAAAGTTTACATAAATCACACAACTGGTGTTTCTTGCATTAAAGGATTAGCTAATGCATAACAGGACACGCTAGGCTTGTTTACTTCATAGCATCTGCTGGCTTCAACATATATTTTTTACTTATAAGACTACCTAGCACAACAAAGTTGGCAAAACTGTAGTGATTTATATCTTTCCGAAGGATTCAGGCTCCTGCCTGAGCAAAACACCTCTTTTCATTAGCATACCTTTTATTTGTTATAGCAACTTCAAATCACTAAAGCCTGTTTGCAGCCCTCCTGATAATACTTCCTAAAGATAAAAATTTCAGGCCACTGAAGCTGGATTCCACAAGGCACTTCAGTGGCATGAGAAGATGCTGACACAATCATAAGATTATTTATGAGAATTAACTCTTATCCAGACTGCTAAACATCAAGGAATTATAGAATTTCCAAAACGGTGCCAAAGCCACTGTACCCAAAGTCTTTAACCAAAAATGTACCATTAGTGTGTTATTTCTGTAAAGCACATTTCTTTTCACTTTCATGGAATGTTAAAAAGAATCTACACATGGTGAGAATCAAGCAATGAAAAATTACTCTAAAATTATGATTTCAAATTACTGTTTTAGTAACGTCATTTAAGATTTTTTTTCTTTTTTGAATAATCTACTTCCTAACATGCATGTTCACCTTTTTTAATTACTGAAAGTTTAACAGCATTATACCGTAGCATAGTAACAATAATAAAAATTGTCTCTCACCTTCTGACTGTATATCCCAAACAATAAGAACATTAGCAGTATCCACAGAGATGATGTGATCACCAAAAGGCTGCAGGAGGTGTATTCTTGCCTTGTGACCTTCATAGGTATGTACTACCTAAAAATTTTTAACAGGAAAGTTTTCAATATAAAATGTTCAGGTAGCATACAACATTAGCACAATGCTTGAGGATGGCTAATACACATGAGCATGAGTACAAACTTAAATAAAATAGATGGAAAGACCACACAACTTTAAGCAGAATATACATATATATAACTTTCTTTGGTATTAAAAGCTGTTTGTTTGCAAGATATTTTAAATAATCTTTAAATTATTTATATTGATTTAAATTAAGTAATTATGAATAGAATTTTAAGAAATAACAATTGCAATTAATACATAAAACATAGGTCAGCCATCATGAAATCTGTTATTACAAATTTCCATTTTATGCTATTTGATTTTCTACATTAGGAGCAATAAAACAGTTTCTTAAAAACAAAGGTAACAAACAGGAATTACAAGTTTGCAGAAAATAAACTGTACCACTAATTAATAAGTAAACTCTTAAAAACCTCTTTGTTCCTGGCAATAGCATGGAAAACATCACCATATGAAGCAAATATCAACATTCGGTCCGCTGCCAAACAAGTAATGTCTTGTAGCAAAGCATTGCCTGCAAATCAAACAGAAAAATTCAACAGGTTTCACCTTCATAACCAAAGATAAAGTCTGACCATGTGTTTGTTTAGTTTGGTGACACACCAATAAGACTGTTTTATTACAGGTATTTCTGTAAGAACACATTTATTTCAAATAGCTCTTATGAATATCACATCTGGTAAAATCTAAGTAACATCACACTGATGAACTGCAATGTTGTTCTTTCACAAATTACTGAATTATTACTTCATGTGAAGGCACATGTTAGCTTCCTGAAAGCTCACAGATAACAACAATGTAACACTTTCTAAGACTGTTAAAGCCACACAGCCCAATGGAAACACTACACAAAGGTGTTCCTGCCTATAGCATGGAGGTTGGAATTAGATGATCTTAAAGGTCCCTTCTAACCCAACCTATTCTATGAGTCTATGCTCTGATTCTACTTATGACGATGCAGGGATACAATCAGGTTACAGAAATCAGGTACCCTGCAAAGGCAGAGACTGCTTAGGTCAAGACACTCAGGAAAAAGGGCGCCAACCACATAACATCAATAAACAACAACCACTCATCAGAGAGGTGGATCATTTATTTTCTCAATCACGACTCTACATTTTAACATCTCCAATTCTGTACTTCAACATCACATTTCACAATAAAGTGTAAGTGATCGTCTATTAAAAGATACAGCCTACTAAAAAGGATTTCAGAAAATGTGCAATATTTTTACCATTTTGTACACTGAAGGCAGAAGGTATGTTTGTTTATACCATTACGTCTTCACTGCTGAATTTATACTCTGGTCCCACCTACGTAACAGTTAATTGTGCCATTTATGAGCTCAGCTATTAATGAAAAATATTTGGCTTGTATGAGATCCGTGTAAGAACTTTATGGAAAACTTTACTTTTCAGGACAGCATTTATGTTCCTGAATCACCTAACTGCTGGCCAAGTGTTTCAGATGCCATCCCACTCAGTTCCTCTCAAAGCTAGATTACAACACCCATTAAGTCAAGTTAGCTTTAACTATGCCATCTGAGTCTTGAAAACTTCTGGGAAACTCTCAATATCTATGTCGTATCATAGCTCTCCCTCAGGGATACTGACTAATCACCAGCCTGAACCTGCAGACTGGCTGTTGCCCCTTGTTATAGTGTCAACCACCACCCACACAAGTTCAGCTTAGTGAGTGCCTTTCCAGTAATAGGCTACTTCTCGTGATTTATCTCCTCACCAAACCAAGCAGATCCAGTTACTTCAGTGTATCTTCTTACGCCTTACTCCTGAGCTGGCTATCACAGTCTACTTGTGGTTTCACCATCACAAAGTACAAAGCAACAACAGCTTTTGCAAAACTGCTGGTTGTCTTCCTATCATAGCTCAGCACAGACTTTATCTTATTTAGAGTTACTGCACTGTTGGCCCACTCTCAACTTGGCACCAGCACAACCCCAGTTGGTTGCAATGCAGGCAGTCAGCAGGGTGCCATGCAGGCAGTCAGCTCCTGGCTTGTTGTTCTAACCCAGGTGCAGCATTCTCTGCTTGCCTGGCTGAATACTGCATGGTTTCAGCTGCTGGGCCCCTCCCAACACTCTGCAACACCTCGCCAGACTGAAGCTTGTTGAGGTTGTTGATGAAGGCACTGAACATACTGATACCTAGTGTATGCTTTGTCACCCACTACCAACTCCACATCAAGCTATGCTATCATGTCCTTTGTCCCCAGCAGTTCAGCCCATTCTTAACAATGTGAAGACTTTCAGTGCCATCTGTTATGATCCTGTAATTATTTTCCTTCAAGTAGCCATAAAAACAATAGAGTGGAAATTACAGCTTTAATTGACGCTCGCTCCTTTAAAGTCTAGAGGTGGTTTTGGAAAAACAGAGTGAGAAGAGGTTCACACGGCATATACATAAGAGAACTAAATCATAGTTGCAACAGCAATCCTGTTTCCAAATTAACACTCAGTACAATAGTAGCAAACATAAATCATTCTGTCCTTTCAAAATGAGAATTGGTTCAGCTACTATATTAAAAAAAAAAAAAACAAAAAAAAAGAACCTGTGCATACTTACTCACTGCAACAATACCAAGCTTCTTCACCTGTAACGACAAAAAGGCATTTTTAGTGATGAATTTGCTATAGAAATTCAAAATTCAAGGATCTAGCCTAGCTGAGATTAGGAATTTGCATGCCTCAAAAGAAAGAATGATAGATTTCTCTTAGTTTACAATAGATTTCTCTTAGTTTACAATAGTGTCTAAGGTGAAACCTGCAGACAGCAGTTCCAAAGGAAAGGGACAATAGTTGCTGAAAGACAGCCATTCTGCAAACTCTATGTCAAAGTGCATGGAGCTAAACACACGTGGGTATCTCGCAGCGTCTGAACAAACCTGTTTCCACACTCTCTCTGCTTCTACTTCATTCCATATTTTGTCAGTCCTAACTCTGCTCACATGGAATTTGCTTCCGTGAGTGTCATCAGCACCCAGAGATGCTGATGGTTCAAGCTCTGTGAAGAAGCCTGACAAAAGCAAACACTAAAAAGCCGACAGAAAGGCACAGGAAAATCACTATACAACTTGTGCTCTGCTGTAAAATACAATAACTTGATACAGTTATTATTTTTATACGCTCTATTTGTAAGGGAAAAAAAAAAAAAAAAAGAAAGTCAGCATCACATGACGATCGCATTCACGTTACAAGAATCAACTGCACTCATTTCTTTCCCTGTCGGTTCGCCCCTCAGATCGCTGCAGCCCCAGACTTTAAAGGCGCGGTGCTCCATCCGCGCGGAGCTGCGCCGTGGCAGCGAAGATCCGGGCACGCGGCAGCCCCCGGCCCAAGCCGCCACGAGCGCGGCCTCGCCGCCCGCCACCTCCCGCCACCGCCCCGACTTCAGCGCGGGGGCCGCGCGCGACTCACGTTGTAGGTGTGGACGCTGCGCCCGACCGCGGTGGCCACGTAGAACTCGCGATGCCGGCCGTGGTAGCGCAGAACGTGCGGGACGTGGCCGGAGTAGCGGCCGAGCGCGCGGAACCCGGCGAACAACGCTCCCCGCTCCGCCGCCATGTTGCCGCACGCGGCCGCCGTGCCGTGCGCAGCCCGGAAGTCGCACCCCATTTCCGGCGGGGCCGTGCGCCGTTCAAAGCGCTCCCCCGCGACGGCGGCGGTGGCGCGGAGACAGCGTACGGCGCGGTATGGCGCGGTATGGCAATGCTTTAATGGCACACCCGTACAGCGCGGCCGCGGCGCTCCTCAATAAGTTAAGGCGATTTGCGAGAGGGTTCGGTCCGCGGACAATAAATAACGAGCCCAGTGGAAAAATATATATCGCGCATCTGTCCGTCCGTCTATTCCAAGTTCATGTAGCTCCTCCACATGGCCATCACCTCCTGCACCTTGCTCTCGTTGCACCGCACCCGGTCCCGCTGCCGCCGCTCCTGCACACAGCGCCGTCAGCACCCGCCGTCGGCCGCGCCCCGCCCGCCGCCCCCCCGCCGCACCCACCTGAGGCGGCCGGTAGCCGCGGCAGCGCCGCCGCAGCACGCGCACCGTGCGCAGCCACAGCTCCCCGCAGCCCCGCGTCCCGTCCAGCACGCACTCCAACAGGCGGCCCTCCTGCTGCGCCCGACGGGCGTCCTGCGGAGCACGGCCGTCAGGTGCGGGGCCGCGTCGAGCACCCTCCCGCTGCCGAGCCCCCCTAAAGCCCTGCTCCCCTCTCTGTCTTCTCTGTTTTCTCTCCCCTTCCCCCGCTTACCCCTTCTCCGCCCCTCCCTCTCTTCGCGTCCTTCCCCCCTGCCTTCCTCTCCCGCTCTCACCCCTCCCTTCTCTCTTTCTGCTCGTGTCCCCTCTCCCCTCCTCTGTCCCGCTCCCCTCCCTGCCTCCCCCGCCCTCGTCCCCGTCCTCCCCCCTCTCCTTCCTTTCTTCTCCCCTTCTATCTTTCTTCCCACGCCTCCTCCTCCCCTCTGCGCGCTTATTTTTATCTTTCGGCTCCGCACGGACTGGGGATGCCACGTAGCCGTCGGGGGCCGCGTTCACCCGGGCGAACCTCGGACAAGTGCGGGCCCGCGGACGCGTCCTCGCAGGTGTGAAAATCGAGCAGCGGCCCCTGGAAGGAGACAACAAGATGGAGGGGGGGTCATCTCCGCGCCCCAGCGGGGCGGCCAGGGCAGCGGGCGATACTCCGCCTGGCGGGAGGCGGCGGCGGGCTGCTCGGTGCGCCCGGAGCCTCCGATCCTCGGGCTGGACGCTGTCAGTGCAAGCGAACCGCCCGCGGAGCTGCTGGACCACTTATCGCCTTTGCAACCGTGAAACCGTCTTCGGCGTCGGCGCGGTTTTACGCTGTCATCTTAGGGCTCTGCCGGGGGTCGGGAGCGCTCTGGTAGCAGAGCTCCTGCACTCCGTCCCTGCCGGTCCCAGCTTCGGCACACGCTTTAGGAGGGTCGCCGGAGGAGGAGAGGAGGAGGTAATTTCCCCGTCCTGTGCTCCGGGTTACTACACTAGCCAGATCCCGGCTTGCTAATCAGCGTTTTCGGAAAGCAGCTGCCAGCATCGAGGACAGAATCGTGGAGGCAGTGCCGTGCCGACAGTTTGCCGCCGATGCCACCAAAGCAACCACCAACCTCGTTGAAGGTCATACGCTCATCGAAAGCGTTTAGGAGATCATCTCGTATACCCTCGTGGTGACAGAGGCTGAAATTGTAGGCGGCCTCCCGCGGTAGGTCGGCGATCTGAAGAAAGATGATGAAGCCACAATAGACTGTGTAAGAAAAAGCCAGAGGTTAATTCTCGCGCCCGCGACGTGACCCGAGGAGCACGGAGGGCGGTCTGCAGGGAGCGGCGCGGGTGCTCAGGAGCGCTAGCGGAGCCGGCTGATTACCCTTTGCGTTATCCATGGTGCCTTTGCACGTTGTGTTTCTCCTGCTGGGCTTCGGATCGTCGCCTGCTTCATATATGTACCTGTACGCCTACGGAAATGATGGTTTCCAATTCCATAACCGGGGCTTATTTGGACGTCTCATGAGCCTCTCTCCAGAACTGTAAATAACAAGCATTCAGACTCGAAGTGTCACTGACTCTAAAAGAAACCCGGGATAGTAAACAGTAATCAACCGCAGCATCCAAACCCCAAACAAACCAAAGCAAGGAACTCCACAGCAGCTGATGCTGTTACAGCCCTCGGGCAGCAGCGCGTGGCTCACCCCGGAGACTGCAGCGAAAACACGCGGCGTGCTTCAGATAATGGAGATTATAGGAAAGTGGCTACCGGCAGGCAGGGGCGATATGGGGCTTTCATGCACAGGCAACCGAACGACCCCGCGGCTCACAGAGCCGTGCAGGGGCCCGAGGGCACATCCAGCGAATCGTCTTCGGATGCTGACGGCTGGAGGACAGAGGGATGGGGCCAAGTGGTGGGGCGGGCAGCCGGGTTATGTTCCCGGCCCCGCGGAAGCGGTTCATGGGAAGAGCCCCGGGACCCCCGCCGGGGCGGTGGTTGCAGACGCAACCTTCTCTCTGTTTCGGAAAAAAAAAAAAAAAAAAGTTATTTTTCGAGGAATGCTCTCTGACTTGAGTCATTAAGGAAACCCAAGAGAACTGCCGTTGCCGTAGGAGAAAACACGATTTTGTTTTCTTTTGGTCCGTGGAGCTGGGGGCGGGCGAAAGTCGATGAAGCAATATTGCGTGCATGAGCATCCTCTTCTCATCTTTTCCTGGTATATCACCAGTGGACTTTCACTCCAGCCGGCTGTTGCCTCCTTCTTGCCCAGGGCTTGGCCGTGGGGAGCTGGGAACTGCTCGTTCATAGGGCAGCATCCCTCATGCCGGGCTTTGTGAATGAAGAGAGATGCTTTCTGATTGCAGTCTTAACATCTGTCTCACTAAGTGAGGTGCCATGCACTGACCTCCTGCAGTGTTCAGGGAGGCCTTAGCACCCAGAGAGGGAAGCCCCATCTGGGCACATGCTACTGAGACCCTTAAATGGTCAATACGTGCCATGTGTGTTGCTATTTCCTGCAAGCAGCAGTGCTTCATCTTTTTCCAGATGGCACAGTGAACACCTGTTGGGGATGCCTGCATTCAACACTCTCCCATAGTTGCCAAATAAACCAACAAACCTCCATGTTCCAAAAGGATGCCTTGTTCTTGCATTCTGGGTGATGCTGGGTTTTCTTTTTCTAATCACAAACCCATGCACCTTCACCTTTCTCTAGGACTTTCTGTCTAAAGCTATCAATAAGCTTCATAAAAGTTAATAAATTGCTAATAAAAACAACACAGTTCTTCCAAATAGATTTTTTTTCCCACTTGTATAAACAACGCTGCAACCTACTACAAAGGCATTCACATTAGGTGAATTTTGTGATACTCACGATAATCAGCAGCATCACTGCCCTGCTACGTAGTGAGAGTAATTCTGATCTGAGAAATAAGTTTGGAACAAGGAAAATGCCATTTGTTACTTTCCATTTTTAATTTATCTTTACTAAACAGGACACAGTGGCCCTGTTAATAAAGGTGTTTGTTTACCCTTACTTCATGGGGTGTGAAAGTCCTGTCAATAGCTGAAGTGTACAACTTGTTTTGCTTCCCATGCAAGCCATATTGTGCTAACATTCTTTTCCATCACTTATGATGCACACATGGTTTTATTTCCTCCATGTGTGTCAGCAGCAGAACAAATTTGCAGCAGAATCTGGAAACATAATCAGATCAGCAAATGATAAAGGCATTTTTTAGAGGAACCAGAAAAATATTTGCCTACAAAAGACAATTTAATGTTTAAAACATGCTTCTATCTACATTCATATGGAAGATTATTAAGAATCAAGGAATCCAATTACTTTTTCTTTAATTGGATGCTTTTCCTATGCATGAAAAGATCTTTTAATAAATAGTACCTGTCAGCTCTCATTTCCTCTCAGTGTTAATCCTGAGTGCCTTCCCTTTGTTGTTGTCACTTCCCTACCATGCAGCCAAGTAGCTCCCTGCTCAGACTCGGATCAGGTAGGTAGGAGGAGAAATAACAAAAGTATATGAAGTGCTTATAAACCAAGCATCTCAAAACTTTCAACTTTTACTTACTCCAGCCATAATAATATCTAGGGCTCACTTCTGACAGCAGATTTTTACCTGAGGTGTTGGCCAAATCTGGGGGATTTGTAAGTGGCTTCCATTAAGAGAAATAACCCAAGACGAGGAAGTTTTTGAATGGAGCCTTAGAACAGACCTCATTTCTTCCCTAATGCTTGTGCCTGGCAGTCCTGTTCTGTCTTGAAGACACCACATTTGCAACTATGCTAGAGCAGTGGAAAGAAGGGATTAAGAAATATCTGTTGCTACTTTGCTGCAGGTCAAGATGTTATCTTTGTGGGCAGGAGTGCTGCCAGCCCTCACTGGGAGAGGAAGTCTGAAGCTAACAAGAAGTCACTGACTTTGGTAGACATTTCTGATCAATATTATTAATATTACTGGCAGTATAATTTATCAGTCTGACTTGTATTTGCTGAGACAGTTTTAGATCATTACATCTTGGTACATGTAGCTGAAAGGCAAATTTTACACTTTTTTTTTTTTTTGTTATTTGTTTTTTTCATGCATGAGCAATATGTTCCTGCCTGAAATGCCTTCCTGCTGCAGAAATGCCAGTCATATCCAGAATGTTAACATAATTACACTTTGGGGGTGTAGGATTTGGGAATTTCTTAAATTATGAAATTATACATGTGGAAAGGTGAGGTGGAGGGAGATAGCAATTACCCAAGTGAAGTTTGGGAGATGGGAAGGAAGTGGGTTGGTGCTTGAGAACTTGCAGAGTGTGTGTCACAGCCTGAGAGCACAGGGTAGGCAGCCCTGGGCAATGCAGGTGCATGCAGCCTGTCTGTAGCCTACCTAGTCTTGACAGGAGCTATGTGAGACTGATCTGACTGGGCACACACTGCTCAGATTGCTATTTTCAGGAATCTGGCTATGGTAAGAGTCCCCTTATGGAACCTCTTTGCTTGCCTAGACTTTTGTCTGCCTCTCTGTCTCTATTTGTTTCTGTATGCTTAGAATCTTAGCTACCAGAGCAAAAGCAAGTGCTGAGTGCTGTTCAGGGCCTCCACATGCCACTTTAGAGAAACAAGGGTATTCAGGAGCACCCCATATGGCTGGTGGCTGACAGTGAGCAAAACAGCTCTGAGAGAACATCACAGATCCTGCTGTTGGTTGGTATACCTTAGTTCCCCTCTGATATGAAAAAACTTTTCAACAAAAGACAGAAGTTCTGCATTACTGGAAAAGATTGATCCTTTTGATGACAGTATTTATTTGGATGGCTGCTGATGACTATCAGCACAGCAATGGGT